TTTTTTTTTTTTTTTTCCACGTCCAACCCGATGTTATCAATCAATGATCTAGCCTACCTAGTATCCATCCATATTACTGCTATTTCACTACCTAGTAGGTAGCTAACCTAGTACAGCCATTCACAAAAAGAATGATTGTCGCGACATTTGCTTATATGAGACATCGTGTCTAGCGAATTATTGCTTCTTCTTTCTTATTCTAAAACGGACAAGAACAGCACAAAAAGAAAAGAACAGAAGAAAGATTGTCAACCTTGCTGGTGACGCCATCAGCTATCACACTAGAAAGTTACCTAGTGCAGTAGGTAAGTATGCTGCGCAAGGGTTTCGGGCTAATTATGAACCAAATTTCAGGTCTATCTTTAAGTCGGATAAAGCCCAATAACACATCGATATCTACGGATACATCAGTACCTACTGTACTGCAGGTGCCCACAGTACCTATCCCTCGGTGTCTCAACTTTTGTCCAAAGGTGACAGAACCTATTGGAAGGGATGGAGTATATGCTTGATGGTTTCCGGGGCCTCTTATTGGCCACGATTATCGTACTGCACCCGAACAAGCCACGATCGCGCCGTCTTCTGTCTTACCAGGGCTCCTGGTCATTCCTCCGGTTCAGTTCTAGGGGGGCCTTGTCAAATGTCAACCAACACTCTGAATCATTCGAATGCCCCTCACACCATACTGTACCTGGAATACCACACTTGGGTTATCAACAACACAGAACACAGAACAATCCAGATCTTGGACTCCTCCAAAGCAAGTTCTGCTAACACCCGGACATTCGTAACTGCAGGCGCCACCCCGAGAATTGATCGACGAACACACGATATCTAGGTATGCAAGATCAGTAATCACAATCACAGTTGGAACGTTGCAATATCTTATGGGCGAAACCAAAGTTCGAGCAGCCTCAGTCCTCCTACGCATCAAAGCATTCATACTTGTTCTTTGTTGGCCGATTTTCTGGACAACTCACCGCTAGAAAGTTTTCGACATCTACCATCCATGGATGTTCTCCAAATGACTGGGTGCGTTCATCTGCCAATTGGAAGGAAGTTTTGCCCCGAACGACAGAAGAAGGCTTCCCACTACTTTTCTTTTGTGTCATATACGCCGGCCAGTCTCGTTAGCCAGCCGGCCAGAGCACACACATAAGTGCAATACAGTATGGATACACATGCAGTAGGTGCTTAGGCAGCTTTAAGTTGCTTTTTGTGCTCCACTCTCTATGGATGGCTTGTTAAAAGAACAAATTGACCGATTAATGAATGGAAGGAGTTTACGCAGCCAAGCGCAAAGAGGCAATAAGAAGCGACAGGTTATAACCTACTATACTGTAGAGTGGCCATCCACTTCGAACCCTTACATCAACAGCGGGTTAGTTGACAGCTGACATTGCCGAGGCATCCTAAAGTTGTCTTAGTTACAACCAATCCGCAACGTTAGGTACCTAGGTAGGTAGTAAGAATCTTGTCAAAAGACAGGGAAATGCCAGACTCCTAGGGCTACGTTACTGTATGTTGGTAGCTAATTATTTATCGACCCACGCACGTTGTTCGTTGCGTAGCGTACATATGTACATCAGAAAGTCCTAAAAAGATCCGATCTATCACTCACTACCAGTAGTACGGACTGTCTATTCGTCACTTTATGTCGATAAAAAATCCCTACAACCCCACTACAACCACAGACGGGCATCATCACGGGATCACAACGACGCAGCCACAGTTCCTTTGTTGGTCATAACCATCAAGCTTGGAAATCTTCTTTCGCGAGACAGCCTTGAACCTCCCTATCGCCATTTTACACAGGTATATACGGATACATCAGACGGCTGAGACCCCACTGGGCACATGGTAGGTACCTACCTACCTGTGGAATTGGTTTCTTATTTTCTTTTGGGAGTCTTTTTTTTTTTTTCTTTTTTTCTCCTCCTTTCTTAATTCCATGCTGTAAATATGACTGGGTTCCTATTTTACCCCTGATAATTTCAATGATCATCCTGAAACCTGACCAATAAACTCCGAGAACAGTGCCATAACTAACGAACGAACATGAGAAGATCAAAGTGCTTTTCATCAGAGAGCAATCGACGATCGTTGGCTGAGACCGTGTCCGAGAGATCTCGAGGGATCCGCAACACGACAGGGAAAACTCGTCAACTCCATATTCATGCTTAATGACGAGCCAGTGACTTTCATCAGTCAAAAGAAAGATTAATTAAATTGAATCCGACAGTTCCGTAAGGGCTCGAAGGTCCGAGTGCTGCGATAAGCAATTGGTGTATCCGTCAATGCGAGGCGTCCCTGGGTTAATTGAAAAATGCCTGTTGCTTAACTACCGATAAGCGACATATCGTATTTGATATTCAGTCAAGTCGTATCGTGCGAGTCAAAGCTGGCTTCCAGGCATAACGCCAGCTGCGCCACAGCCAGATATGTGTATGTATGTACCTTACCACAACGGTGGAGGTCAGGAGGTCAAAACGATGGGCGATAGGAGATACGAGATACAAGAGCATGGATGCCAGTGCTGTACTGTACATTGGTAGGTAGGATGGAAGCCTCTAATGCAAGGCCAGTTCTGAAAGTCGCGACTAATGGCGGCGACTATCGATCGCTTTCTCCTAGTTAACCTTTAGTAACTGTTTACATGCAGCAGGTATCGACTCGGATTGCTACAGTACTGTACAGTAATGGATGCCTATCTCCCACCCTTCCCCACCACAACAAGCATGAATCGATTGCACAGGATCAAAATGCCCCATCTCTATCGACTTTCATCCAGACCTGGCTCGGATGTTGCGTGGTCCGAACGCATGTGTCGCAATCATTTCCAAAGATTAACCGTCATAGCCTTGAGACACTCCCGCAGTTGGATGGACTAGACTACATCAGTAGGTAGCTTCAGGATCCAGTCCCCACCAAGTAGCAACGGCAGTTGGCTCTGGAATATCACCTTGAGCTTATTGTGTCAACCAGTAAGCGAGTCAAAACTGGCTTGATGTTTGTCGTTGAGTAGCAGTCTGGTAACCATACATAATATGACCGCTACTCTTCTTCTTGGGACGGATCAAATAGCTCTCATCAATGCCAAGCATAACGGGAACGGTAAACCCAAAGCCCGTTGAAAACGAGCCGCTGGCGTGTACGTGCGTGCACTAGTCCTTAGTCTATTATAGCCCTCGAGCTTGGAATGGTGCTCTACCGGGTTTTTGCAACTTCATTTCCGGCCTAGTAGACTATCTGGTTCGGAACCTAAACCCAATTGCTTCAACGTCGTTGGTAAACTATTGACAACTTGATGCTTTACTTGTCTATCCGTACTCCCATCTCCATAAGCCTGGGGGTGGCGGGAGGTGGTCACAGCGCTCGAACCTCTACAAAGAAGCAATACCATCCAATATGAGCATAGCACAACAGTAAGACCAGCCGACCTCTTCCACACATTAGAGCTTTACAGCTGGTTGCAGCCAAACCAATCCGAGGCCAGGCACCTTGCGAACCCCAACGGCGGTAGGCTGAAAACACTACCCTGTTAATCGATAACCACATATCCATAGAGTATAACCGTGAAGGGGATGTCACTCGGATCCTCCGCGGATCATCAGGAGTGGTGCAAGTTGCTCCTTGAATGTCCAAGCGCCATTGAAGAGCTGAGTTAGAGTTTGGTTCTGGCTGACGGATGACCACCAACCCATGTCAATGAGAGCCCAAGAGAAAACATGTTTCTTGTTAGAAAATGTTGCATTCTTTCCCGGGTATCCCGAAACTCCTGTCTAAATCTAGTCAGATCCCCCAATAAGCCATGACAAAGATACAACACACAAAAACAAAACAATTGCAGCTTGATATATACTGCCTGCGAATGGAAGCTCATGCGCTTATACAACCATATCGACTGCTTTTCAACTTCAAGACCCGTCGATAACTTTTCGAACAGTCTTCCTGACATCCGACCTGAGGAACAAAACATGCAAGATACATTGCTAAAAAGAAAAAAGAAGAAGAAAAAAGTGCAATCGAAGGTAACACAATAGGCGCAGGACAGTATCGTTGTACTGTATAGTGCAGTAGGAGCCGAGCAAGCTTTGTTGCATACCGAAAGGCCTATAAAGCGTACAGGGGTTTGTCGAGGTTCAAAGCACAGCGTCATACGCAAGGGTGGAATATACGGACGATCAAATCAGGGTCTTCTCGATTTTGACTAGCAACTTTCCACCCGGTATGGGGCGGGCCGTAGAGTCCATGAGTCGAATGAATCGATAGCCTGGACGCAGGCGGTCTAGTCGGATGCAAGCCCATGCAAGCAATGGCGAGCTGCCAAGCCTAGATGAATCGTCTTCGACTTTGAATCTAAATATGATGCATTAGTGTTATGCAAACCAGGACGTGCAAGAGTCGGCAACGAGCATTTCGTCCCGTTCCGCTGGACGGCGAGCGCTGGACGGCGAGCGCTGGACGGCGAGCGCTGAGCGGGTGACAACCACTAGTCATCAGCCTGTACAGTATGTACGTATGACAGTCCATCGAGGTAGTAGGCACGACCGTGCCAGCGTCAGTAATCAGTAAGGAATGACTCGCCACTCCAAAGTCTTTAATGCTTGACAATTCTCGGGACATGCCTTGCTTAAGGCGCACGGGACTTCTGTGTCCACAAACAGGTCGTGTCTTGAACAGCAGCTAGTCATGTGTGATATCCATGGAAAGTCGTACAGATTCCCTGACTTCTGTCATGATGACTTAAGTACTTCCACGTACACGCATGTTCTGTCCATGCTTTGCAAGACATTGAGAACGGTCGGAGCGTAGTGGACGGTGCAGTAAAGCCGATATATGACAGAATGAACAAGCTGACAACTTACCTAATGAAACTCAGCTCCTCGACCACCTTGGGAATATTGAGGAACTGGATGAGCGAGCCACGAGGGCCGAAGTCGGGATGGTCTGTCTTGCCAATGTCTGTTTTGTCTTTGTACTTGCATTCGTACGCATGTTCATCCCGTTCAGGGTCGGTAGACTTTTCTACGTGTAGTTCCGCCTTAATCAATGGGCGAAGCGTGCTGGCAGAACGGGCGGCGTCCGTTGCGTCGCCGGCTTGTATGGGAATGTGCTGGCCGGCAAAGACGATGATTCTCAAGTCCATGGTGCAACCTGGAGTGGCTTCACTTTGGGTCTCTGCAGAAGTATTTGAACTCTGGTAGCCCTCGGGCTTCAGAACCCAGCCTTTCTCATCCGCGAACATACCTTCGTTAAGCATCATGCCCTCATCTAAGTACTGCCAGTTCATGGCGACCATTTGAACACCACCTCGCCAGAAGGCACTCGGGTCTGGATTCGAACTGTCGAACCTTCGACCTGCGGGGAAAGCACGCATGAAATAACCCTTGTTGTGGGTGAACATTTCTCGGTGCTGCTTTTGGTTGAGCTCGAGAATGCGGTTCTCGCTGATGGAAAAGATGTGAGATGGGATTTTGGCTTCCTTAGTCGCGAGGCCCTTGTAGTGCTGGCTACGTGTGTAGATGGCCAATTTACCAAGGTTCTCACATATGTTCACCTTGGAGTTGGTGCTCTTTGTGTGGGAAGGGAATGTGCTGTTGGACCCAACCAGAGAAGGCCCCAAAGGCTGTGATGAACGTTCGTCCTCGGAGCCGGATGCATCCTCGTCGTGGGCATAGATAGCAGGCAGATCCATCGTGCTCGGTGGAACCACTATCTTTGCGGGAGCCCTCTTGACCTTGATGAGAATCCTCCTTCGTAGCTCGCCTAGCTTCGGCAGCTGTATCCTTGGGCCAATGTCATCCAATGGCTTGTCCACAAGCATTTCTCCCCATTCTTGCTTCATGATTTTGACCATCACTTCTTGTTGATCCTCGTCTGCGTGTACTTCCAAGCTGACAATGATGGGAAGATCATTCTCGACGAACGCAGCTTCAGCAACAGCTTTACACACCTCCCTGAACCCACACGGGGCGGTTAGAGTCCATCCGTGTGTTACAATGGGCTCATCCTTGGGAAACGACATCCTTGGGCGTGGCGCAGGTGGTTTCGCGACATCGAGAAGATCGCCAGACTCGCGAGTATCGAGAGGAATCCGATTCACACTCGATCTTGAAGATGAACTGCGGCTTCCAAAACTGCCGCTACGGGAATGATTGGTAGCCTTGTCGGTAAGATAATCTTCTACTTTCTCGATCACGGTTGTGGCGACATTGGGAAACGATTCACCTGATAACCCGCGCCTGTGGTCAGATCTATTACTTGTCGTGGGAATGACAGTATCTCCGTTCCATACATCAATTTCGATGCACCGGCATCCACGAAGGAGAACCTTTCAAACCGTTAGTTAGTCAATAAAGCACCTAAATACACAAAAATATGTTTTCAACATACTGTCTTGTACGCCTCGGGTGAGCTTCTACTCAAAGAAGCAAGTTGATTCCCAACAAGATACGTATTGTGGCTGCTGTTGATGAAGTAGTTTGTAAGAGGCTTCGAAAGATCTTTTGCGGGAAGGGGTGCAGTTGCTTCCCACGAAAATTCGGTATGCCATGTAAACTTGAATTCACCCAAAGTATAATAATCCTTGGAAAGTTTCTCAACAGCGCTCTCGCTCTCGCCCTGGGTTGTCCGCAGGAACTCGGCAAATTTAGCTCTGGAAAGGTAAGTCTCTGAGTCTTTGATTTCTTCGTATGTACGGTCAAGAGCTTCCCACATCTCGTTCGTGATGTGTATGTCGGGGATGTTGGAGATTGGTGCTTGTGGGTTCGAACTTTGGCTAGAACTTTCGTCGGTCGGTGGAGGTTTCTGTATTGTAACCGGATCCCAACCATGCATGGGAGCCGGAGAAGCAGCGGTGGTGAAGCGAACCATGTCCTTGAGAGCGCCAATAGCCTGGATATTCGAGTTGCCAAAGATTGACATGGTGCGCGCGCGCTGGGGTTTGTCGCACTTTGCACCGCGGCGCCGCTAGATACTCCCGTTAGTAAGTTTGTCTCAAAAGAGTTTCTGTTGTTGTTCGTTTCGCATACTATCAGTCCGCAGAGAGGCATGGCGACAGGCTGTAGTTCTTAGGAGAAGATTTGAACTTGAAGCTGGCGATGGCGATGGCTAGACGGCCAGGACCATTGGAGCGAAAACGGATGCCCCGCTGGCCTAGCCAAACATCCGTCTGATTGAGGTCACTCGGTGTTTTAATTATAGTGAATCGTCGTTGGCGAAAATTTTCGATAGCAAAGATGTTTCCAACTTGTCGGTTTTGACTGAGTAAGACGGAAGTTAAGAAGGGACGGGAAAGAAAAGGGACAGAATGGATGCATTGGATGTCAGTACCCCCGTCTGATAGGCGATAAATTAGGCGGTGCCCCCCAGGCCAAAGAGCCAAACTAGCAGGCCGAGTCCAGGCGGCTCCATGCTAGCGTCCTGCAGCACAGCCCTAGGGGAGGGTTCCTTTGGTTCAGACAAGGAGGAAGAATGGGCACAAAGCCCAGGGCTGAGAGAAAGATTGAATCATGGAGGCTTGGGGGCCAAGACGTGATTGGAAAGATTAGTTTTCTTACTGTGTGTTTGGTTAGAGGAAAGACTCACAATGCAAGTGGGGAATCGCTGAGACGCTGATTCTGTGATGACTGCTTTGAAGCGAGAGCAGCGACGGCATTGAATAGGTAGGCTGTGCTTATACGACCGCAGACAGACATGTGCAACTCTGTGCTGCTGTACTGTGCTTTGCTGTGCTGTGCTGTACTGGGCTCCATATGTAGGTTATGCTGGGCTGGGCTGGGCCTGGGCTGGGCTCTCACGCATTACAACAAGCTCTATTATTTTTAAACCGCATGATCCTTCAAACAAGTGCACCGAAGTTGATAAAGATAAAACGCATCAATAGTGTCCATGCTTTACCTAGTCCAGGCTCGACGGCACCTCAACCCCGAGTCTAAGCATTGCCTAGACCAACGGCGCCGGCTCCGGGCCGCGAGTGCTAGGTCGGGCGAGTGGGGCCGGGCGGGGCGCAGCCGTCCGAAGCATTCATCAGCTCCAGGTGTGAGGTCATAGGACCCTCTGCCCAGCTTAGTGACACTCGATATCAGCGTCACTACATACAATAAAACTCTCTCGAATACATCAACATTTTGAAGATACATAGTAAGCCCACTCGGACGCTTGCTGCCAATACTAATTACTGTCTACCCAGTTGCATAAGAAACAGTGTAGGTGCCCCATATTCCTTGTCCCTCTTCGCCGGCCCTGCCTTGCTCACTGCATACCTATGTGATAGCTGCAAACCCAACGACATCATGAGTTTCAGAAATGAATACGAGGAGCAGGTGCGAGCATGGGGTTTCAACCGTGTTGTCACTTGGAGTGATTCCCCGTAAGTCATCTTGTCTTCATTACTACTGCTACGTATTCTTCATGACCGCCCTGTCGCTTTGAAATGAGGCTCTGACACAGCCTCCACAAGCCCCATATTCAATCTGACCTTCGAATAGGAACACCCACTATCCACCGCACTCTCATACCTCCCTCACGACTCATCTGATCACCCAGGGGTCCATGACACTGTGGTATCCCAATGAGGAGGACAATCAAAAGCAGGTTTATGGAGTAGGGTCGCGTATCGACGTTGACGCAGGAAGAGTTCATGAGGTTATGATCGGGGGAAGCGGGTGTACCATGGTAATTGGTGAATAAACAACCTGGCTGCACAATTTGAATATCTCGGACCACAGTAATTACTCATGGTTTATTAAACTACCTCTGCTTTAAAGATATGGGACGTTTATTTCGTCTTTTTATTCACTGCACTGACGTTATGGGGAAAATCGTAGAGAATCGTATACTTGAATATGTAGAGGTATAGGGTAGGTAGTCACAGCTCAGCAACTTTACGGACAGCTCGAGAAGAGTTACCTGGTATACGATAGGTTACCAAAAAGAAAAGTGGTTTGGTGGAATATCCACCTACGTTGAGTGAACAGGGGAACCGAACCCATGTTATTCAATTGAATCATGCCTAAACCATTCGCCTGGGGTTGTTGAGTTGCGGTGACAAAGGTTGTAATGTTCGTGCATGCTCAGCGCGCTGCTTACCTGGGTAGGGATCTCCAAATTTGCAAACGAGATGAGACCTAATCCGCTGAACAGATGCAGGATAGTGCTATGGGACAAGAGCCGAGAGCCAAAGGAGAAGCCAAAGGTCTATCTGGGTCAGCAGATCGGAGGTTATCGTCTTCATCCATGACATACGAGATGGGCGTTTGTGGGGAAAATTCAAGAGGTTGGGTATCGTTTCCTCCCATGTGAAAGAAAAGGCGAGAGTTTGTCTCCCGACCCGAAGTCTGAATGAACGAAGATGATCGTCGTGGGGTTATGTAAATCTAAGGGATGTGAAGATAAGCTAACAGGGTATCGGCAGGCAAACGGATGATTTGTGGATGAACGAATGGTCGCATGTCGATCCCGGAGAATTCGATTGTACGATTTTTGGAATTCCCATCGGTGTGAGATATGTGCCGTCTTGTGCTGTAGTACAATTTACCATGATGGGCTTTGATAAAAGCATCTGGTTTTTTTTATTATTTATTTTAGTTTTTAATTTGTAGGCACATCGTTGAATCCGCTCATTAAGAGCAGTCTGATAGATGTGATCGTTCCGGGGAGAGTAGCATGGAATGACCGCCAGTTCACGGATACCCGAAAGCAAAAGCCCATTATCGACGACAAGAACTCGCTTGGCTATATTTGGCCGTTGGCACAAACCCATGTGCAAATGCAACCCCCGCTCGCCTTGTTCGGCCGCCGATGAATGGAACCTTTGAGTATGACACCTCTCCACACCGGAAACATATCTTCATTTCGTGTAACGTCATCCGGAGTACAGGGCTTCATTCATCCAAGTCGAGAGGTTGGGCCAATTGCCCTTATGAGGAAGCGGGAGCGGAGGCTAAATCAACTCTCATGATCGGGCTGCCCGTATAGGTAAGGTGAAACCGGTATTAGGCAATGCTATAATTTAGCTTTCAATATTAGCGGACTGTCGTCTCTGTAAGCTTGATTCAATGTCCAGATCTCACAGTGACAGACATCGAGCCAGAATGCCTGCGAGGGGCCGGGAATGGCGATGAGGAGAAAGGCGTCGTAATCAATGCACGTTTGGATCCGGCATCTCCTCTTCTCGGTGGTATATGCCGACTCTCAAACTTGAGTTCTGATACTTTGCCGACGTATGTCTAGACGATTGGCAACAAATGAGTGAGTTAACTAGCGCGCCCAACAAATAAGACGTGGTAATGGAGTCAGGACTATTCAGTAGCTGACTAGCTGACTAGCTGTACGGCTACGCTACAGATGCAAAACATAGTGTTTCGATAAACAACTATCGCCATTGGCTAACAACAAGGCGTCGCGGACATGGCGTGGCTGTACGCGTCGATAAACAAATCAGAGTTCAGTCCATGAGTGTAACCGTAGCCAGGTTTTGGAAAATTATCCCAAAGCCTCAGAGGGTCTTGATTTGAGTCGCAAACACTTTTCAAGTCTGGTGACCTAGTCTATTCTATCCTGTACTGTCCTGTGCAGACGCGGATGTAATACTTACCTGGGTATTATGTTAAGCGACCAAGCGGGTGGGCGGGTTTGGTCTGGAACTGTTGTTAACTTGTTCTCTTGTGGGAATCGTACGTTTTCAGTTTGAAACTCTCCGGTATAGTATGGGTGGTAGGTGCGTTTGCGTCGCGCTGTAAGTGTACGGATACGCTCTAATACTGCTGTACTGGTTTTTATGGATCCATACATCGTCCTGTGTTGGATGTATCCGGCATGTGGAGATGACGGCATGGAGAAATCATGATGCAGCCATATCGTATCGAGTTGTTTGATATCGTATCAAGCAAGGCCGCTGTCCCGGTCAGTCTTACAGCATCAGCATCAGCATCGTATCCACGGGAGAGGCGCTCGGACGGCTTGCGTGTCTTGTTTGTTTGACTTTACTTTCTTGTTCAGCCACAGGTGACAGAGCTATACCATGTATCGCTGCAGACTACCCGCAACTCAGCCCATTGTTGGACAGCGTCATGTTAGCTATGCTCCATACTCCAGTATGAATTCGGTGGCCTCGGCCGGTCGTCATGGACTCGGAACAAGACAGAACGAGACCAACAGCAGTAAGACCGGGGTGTGTCCGCTAACAATAGCCCTGTAATATAAAAAAGCGGTGCTGTGTGTTGTCCTATAACAAGTGGTCAGTGCTATGTTATAGATAGGTAATTATGGACAGTTGATGCAATCCAACTTGTCTGTTTTGTCCCGTCTGTAGTAAGATGAGGATTTGCACCAGAACAATCTCGCTGCTCATCACCACGTACAAGAATTCTAAGACTTGGTCAAACTTGATCGGCCCAGCCATTCCAATGACACCACATGCTTTAGCTGACTGTGGCTGCTGCATATGCATGCTTCGCAACTCAATCCTCGTGAAGCTCTCTTCACCAGTCACCTGCATTGCATGTAAGGGAAGGTAAAAACAAGTGAGGGTAGCGATGGAAGAAACCTAATCAGAGCTACGGTACAGTGAGTCTGTACAGCACTGTACTGTACTGTCCATGCCCGGTAAGTAGGTAGGTAGGTACCTACTGTACTAGCCTAGGTAGTACCGTATGGATGTATGTATGCTTAGTCAATTAGGTTCCCTTGAGGGCAGCCTCTTGATGCATTAAAAATGTTTGTTATCTTTTGGAGATGCATTGAAATGAAACCTTGGCGCCTCTGGATCGAGGAGATTTATCCGAAGTCAATTATCCATTGGACTAGCTGATTGGCTGCTGGCCGTTGGGCGGTTGCCGAAACGTGCAATACAGTCCACCTCAATTGTATAGGATCGGAAGTATCGATGGATGTGCCTTGGCTAGTGCCACCTTCCATCGCTGCTGTTGGCTACCAACGTTAGCTGCTCACCACCAAAAACTAAACTCCACTCTCGTCCCGGCTGTCATATCATGGATGCTCCATTTTCTCGATAATCCATCTCATCTCGTCCAAGCTTTTGGAGAAACTCAGTGTTCGTCTCTTCCGGCATAGAGGCAGCTCTAGCTCTAGCTCTCCCGTCTTTTAACTTTTTTTTCTTCCTTGTCTATCCTGCAGCTCCTGTCACGTCAGCGCTGTCTTCTTCCCGTCTGCTAATCCTCATTAGCTGTGGCTGCTTCATTCTGTTCTTGGCTTGGCTTGTTGTTGATGTTCGCGTCTCGTCTCGACATGAACCATCCCCTGCTCGGTCTGGTCTCACCCCTCACATGGATCTCATACCTCACCTCAACAACCAGGTTCTCCTTGTCCGGGACTTCCCCTCATGCGATTATCAACTCCGCCAAAACTGTCATGGATCCTTAAACTCGACTCCACCTCGTCCAACCTCTCCTCTCTTTTACTCTCTTCATTTCTCATATGTTCGAACTACCCTTTACCTTCTTTTCTTTTCTTCTTCTCCTAGCTCATAGTTTCAGAAAACCAGATCAATCAACAACCAATACCAATACCAATACCAATACCAAAATACCGGGCTTGTCCCCTTTACGCACCGGTCTTTCCACCTTATCCTCCCTCGCGGCTGAGTAGAACACGGGATAGTTCATGTTTGACGGCATGGAGGCGTCTATGTACCAGTGAACGGTCGTCTTTGCTCGTCGAGAGCCTCAAAAGCTTCCTTCCGAGCATCCATCACCTATTGCTTCCGATAGCATCTCACAAACCAGGAGTGAGAGCAGTTTGACCCAATGGGCAATGAACAATCCGCCGAGACCCCTCGCGGGCATCGGAAACTATCCAAGCCACCTCACTGCAACCAGACATCAGCAGCTGGCCTGCCATACACTGCTACTGCTGTGACACCTCATTGTGAGCATTTCTCCAACTCGTATCTTGTTGGATCGCTGCCGCCTGCTCCCAATAAGGCTTCCTCCACGAGAAGAGTGGCGCCTGGGCTCGGTATAGCCGTCCCTGCCAGTGACGGCATTAGTCCTGCGCCGACGCCTACATGTAGAGAATCGCGCCGCGATTCAATGTCACGAAGAGCATCGGTCCAGTCAGAGCAGTCTCCCAGGTTGCCGAGCTTCATCAACAGCTCCAGGACGAGCTCTATCGCCAGAGATAGTGGTTACCGCACGCTTGCGCGTGCTGATAGGTTTGTGAAACGTATCCGTGCGCGTCGATAAATAGAGCTGACTGCCTCAAAATAGCATGCCCATTGCAGTACCGCGTGGCTCTACTAGCTACGATACGAGAGCTGCCGAGCCCAAAACGCTTCTCGGTACCAAAGAGAAGCTCCCAAGCGAGCCCATCATCTCCAAATCTAAAAACCACTCAGATGAGACCGGTCAGGATGTAGCAGATGACAACAGCAACGCCAATCATTCTGCGGGCTCGTCCATTAGCAGAACGAATTCAGACGTGTCCCTCTACATGCCAATGCGTCGTCGCTCGATCGTCCAAACACCAGGCGTAGCAACCAGAGCCCACCATTCCAATCCCCCAGTCTCAGCCAAGTCAAGCTTCCGCAGGAGTCTCCCGCCAACCCCAAGTCAATCACGGCACAATTCGATCGAGTCCGGTATGGCGAGACGCATGTCAATGCCTACGACCATCCCATCTCAGACACACTCTTCAGGCCGAGCCGTCACGCCAGTCGAAGCCGACTACAAGCAGTTGGGTGGTATGAAGTTTGGATCTCTACGCATCACCAACGGTGCACCGGTCACTTCTCCAGTGTCTGAGGATGACGTCAAACAACAAGGGGTTTCTGAGTCGACGCTAGCAACCCCTTGTGCGAGTTACTTTAATGAGCAAGCCAGCAATCCTACCAATTTGATGAACGAAGGATTGTCCATTTCAGAGGCCACAAGGTCTATGACACCTGGAAAGGCCACCAGTCAAGTTCCAAGCTTTGTTGCCGAGCATTCAAGCAATGCGGACAAATCTAGAACAGGCGATAGCCAAATGTCTGAGAATGGGAATGCTGTCTCATTTCCGGTTGCTGAGGCTTTGGACCTAAGGGAAGACCCAAAGAAAATGCATTTGGAACTTGAAAACAAAATGTTTAAAGGGTTGACAAGGTCTGACAGTGGCTTCGTCCCAAGTCCTTCATCTGAGAAAACCCAACGGACCGCGTCCCGAAATGACAGTGGTTACAGTTCCAATGTCTCTCTTCGATCACTGCCTAGCTTGAGATCCGGTGTTACGGACAAGAACACAATGGCTTCAGAAAAGCTTGACAGCGACGTGCCGGGGATGTGCTCGCCCTCGGATTCGAACTCGACACGCACTTCTTCCTTGGTCCCTTCACAGACACGCAACCGGCTGCCCATCCACCTCGAGGTCCCTCTGTCATCGACCGATGACGATACCTCGACTTGTCCAACAAGTCCATCCAGTCCAACCGGTAGACCATTCTCCCCATTTACCATTGGTAGCCGAATGCGTCTTTCGTCACTGAAGTCAACCCGGAGTTTCGAACCGCGAGTATCAAGTACTGCGACTGCACCGATCGTACTTTCCAAGGGTGATTCCAACGATCAGCTGCCCGCAGCAACTGCTGATGTCGCCTGTGGAGGCAGTAAGATTTCTCGTTTCCTCAATGGTTCCCGTAAGAGGAGCTCTTCAAAGAAGAAGGGTGACGTATCGACGGTCGAACAGGATGTCCTGAACAATACTTTGGGTCTCAAACCAAAGTCGCGGTCTACATCCAAGCGATCAGCGCTTCGAAACGAGCCGAGCAAAGATACCTTACATACGATTCTGAGCGTCGAGAGCCAGACTATGAACATTGCACCGGCACTTGAAAAGGAGGATGCAAGCAAAGGTGTCGGCAAGGATGCGGTCAAGAAGCCGTCTCGGCGTCAATCGTGGCGTCAGTCGATCGCCCAGATGTTCGGTTCTCGAAGCGCAGACGCGAGCCCGACAATGAGTTCCGTGCCCGAGACGACTCCGAGACGCCCCTCAACTGCTATGGAGCTTTCCTCGCAACATTTCGGTCCTCTCCCTAGTCCTCGGGCTGTGAGCTCACGATCCTCTCGACCGACGCCTAGGAAAACAGTTAGTAGCTCCGGCAGCTTGCCTTCACCAACCCGAAAGACCAACACTCCCGGTATGCAACAGCGACGTGACAAGCCTGAATTAGCTCACCTTCGCACTAACGTGTCGGCCCCAAACCTGGCAGCGAGTCGACGAATGTCGCTCAGCCCATCCCAGCTTGAGACGGAACAAGCTTTGCGAACGAGGACCTCACCACCAGTGAGTATGCAAAACCGAAACGCTAAATCTTCGCGAGGCAAACCGCAAGGGCACAACCGTTCCATGACTCCTTCTTTCCCCATCAACTCTCGACCTACTACTGGTCGGCGACTTTCTCTCCCCCAGGATTATGGTCGAACGACACCTCACAACCGTCAGGTCTCGCATAGCCGCACAGACTCGCGCAGCTCCAACCGAGGCATGGCTATGAGCCCTGTGCCCAACATGGGTTCCAATTCAGGGTTCACTGTCCAGCAGCCCCGAGTTTTGTCGTATTCGAGCAATGGAACGCAGCAAACTGGCCCAGCTATCTCTCAATCGAGACATAACCGTCGAGTATCAGCACCAGCACAACCGCGCCCAGGACCTGGTATGCCACGTTCGAGAAGCAGCACTACATTGATACAGCTACAGCAGCAGCTCCAACAACAACAACAACTTCGTCCCCAGTCGTCCCTTCAGGCGTGGTCGCCTATGGACATGTACACTCTCAATCAGCAACTGCAGCAAAATTACATGATGCAGAACCAAGCGCTGGTATACGGGGCATCAAACATGGTCCAACAGTATCCTAACATCTACGTGACTGGCCCTTTGCTCAACCAACATAGCCATGGTAGGCAAGGCTCCCAGGGTGGTGGGATGTCTTCTCAAGACCCTCCTTTCCGGGTTCTTCACAGCTATAACTCGCCAGCATATCGCCACGCTCCTATCTGGAGCCAATAGCCAGGAGCCTTGACATTATCAGGCTCGCATTCTGTTTCTTTGCTTTTACTGAGATACCATATATGATGGAAGGGATTTATTATTTCTTTGATTCTTTGCCTGGCGTTTTCGGGTACAAACAGCTTTTTCCTAAGGACAAGGAATTTAGCCCACAGCGTCCACACGCATCCATTACACACATTGTCTTTCATTTCAAGAGATTGCATGTGTACTTTACGATTGAGGGAAAGTATTACCAGGCTTGGGCCGCTTCACTTGTGTGGTGTCGCATATTGTGTTATCTTAGTGGTTCGTTACTGAAAAGCATGGTCTTTCGGGCAATATTTGCTTTCAAGCTGTTGGGTTTCCTTTTCTCGAGTGCATCATACTGAAGAGTGTCGATCAGGAGTGCCGTTCTGGTAATACAATATTATCTAATGAGTAACTTTGCCAACACTGAGCTACTTCGTGACATCGTTGGTTAACTGTATTGTGTCTTCAAATGCAGCTAGCTTTTGTTTATTAAGTAGGATTTGTGGATGAAGTCAACTTTTGTACATATACACATCCACGTAAATAAGCTATGACTGCCGGGGATTGAATAAATGGATCAGTCAACTGAGATGATCTGTTCGATTAAGCGTTAGGTACCCCGTGATCGAACACAGCCTCACGGAGATCGACAAAGGGTCTAGCTGAAGTGATGTGACATGAGAGAAAGACACATTACCACCAACCCTCGAAACATCGTTGACCAATAAAGAGATGAAACGAGACCATAATCATGAGAGACGATTCAACTGCATGGGATTCTCATATACATTATGCAAGCTTATGAGGATTTAGTGATTGATCCTGATCCTGAATGATCACTTTCAAAATCCAGAACAAGTCACGCACCCACTTTAAACCCTTGAGGTCGGGCGCAATGTCACATTGGATAGCTTGGAATAAGCTTGAACCTCTGACAGCTATCGTTTTAACATAGTACATGGGAAGAACAGGTGCAGTTTATGCCATGGGTGATAGCCTTGATTTGATGTTGCAAGCTGTGGACTCCCCCAGCTATAAGATCTGCTTGAGAGATATAACAATGACGACGATGAAGTGGATGAGACAACCAAATTGAGTTGAGCCCTGTGGTTGACCAAGACGGAGAGTTTTGTTTTTTTTGTCTTGCTCAGGGGATCAATTGGGATTGGACCAGGCTTGGGATCCATGAGATGCTATTTTTGTTCTTCATCTAGGGAATTTCTCCATCGGACCACACCAACCTCCCGTCTAACCTAGACGGTCAGGCGGTCCGAAAAATAACCAGGACGCAGAAGTCTACTGACAAAATAACTTAGACTTGCTTAGGGACTAAGCTTAGGGGAAACTGTCCTAACCTTTATGATACCCTTAGCTAAGTCTCGCTTTTTCTTGGACCCACCTGACGGTCCCCAGACGCTGTCTACTTTTGGTCAAGGCAGAGTGGATTGGGCATGGGTCCTTGAACTTGATTACGCTACGATTTGGACAGGGTGGTTTCGGCAGACAAGGGAGAAGATGGGTAACTGACGTCGTAGCAACGGACCCTGAATAGAAAGGAGAGTCGGAGAGAGAGGCAGCCGCTCAGCAGGCATGATGAGAAACCGCCAAGTCTTTTGTTATGCATAGGAAAAGGAAGAAAGAAAGAAAATTATGTCAAAACTGTTGATCGCCCACTATTGACGCTGATGACGACGACTCACCCTGATCGTAACATGGGTGGGTGATCCACTGACGACGTTGACATACGTACCTAGGTACCTAGGCTTGTTAATCATCTGAGGATTTCTCTACCTGCTAGTTAATACCTTACCTATGTTAAGTACAGAATATGATGTCAGGTACCTAACATCGAATGTCATACAGAGTCGGAGTATCAAAGATTTGGCACGTGAGAAGAGTTCGGGAGCAGAGCAAAGCAATCAACAAACAGCCGAAATAACAATCCGTCCCTGACAGCAGTCATGCACTTTATGTAAAGCAAAGACTTAGCTTTTGATGCATACCCGTGGAGACGGCCGTGCAGTATCCGTACCAGAAACAATAGATCTTCAATAAGTTCACGTTGAGCAACGTTATCGAATCGGTTAATGATCACTACCGTAAGGCGAAACAGGCGGGCTTTCTCAACCTCCACTCCATCCAGGCTGATGAATTCAGTACCTACTACCTTAGGTAGGTACCTACCTACAGGTACTTACACAATCGAGCGGGGCAACCTTAAAATACTGTCAGTACTGCACTTAGACATGACTTAACCTAACCCAGCGTTTCCAGCTTGGTCGATAGTGTGGTCTCGACGCGGTGTGACCGCCACAAACGGGCTGTTTCGGCTAGAGACTTAGTTCCATAGGTGCCTAGGTACCTGTAGGTATGGAGGTTCAGTCGGTTTAGGCGGCTCTGTGCTTTTTTCCCGGGAAATCGTCAACAGGGTTGAATAGAGACTTCAGGCACAAAGACAATATTAGTAACGTAGCGATGAGGGCGGATAGTCTACGGATATCTCCTCTATACTACCTGGCCTACCTACTTACCTAGGTAGTAATTTACCTGTATCCATGGATAGCACAGCCTCCATCCATCAAAAGCCCCAGGTCACAGTACCACCCGACCCAGACCCATGCCTGGGTAAGTACCTAATGCTGTGTCTGCCAAATACGAGGCCCCCGGCCAGTAATCCAATCCCCGACCCACCCCATTCCTTCCATTCCTTATCTTCCTTTGTTTGTCCACCTCCACTTGATCCAGCCCTTGTCTCTTTATAAGTCTCTCGCTTTTCTCACTTACCCTCATCACACGACTCTTGCATTTCTTCGTGACTCTTATAGTTGACTTGCATCCAACCATCTCTCGCTCATCCTCTTACTCTCGCTTTTTGTTCTGTCTCTGTTATTTGCTTGTTTTACTTATCCATCTCTTTCTGTCGTTTAGATTAGGATCATAACCCACTTCGACACTTTTGGTCGATCTCACTCTCGCTCTCACAACTCATTTGACGGCCAACAACTCATACTGTCAAGTAATCATAGATAATAATCGGCGCTGTCCTCTTAATCTCGAGCACACGGTTCACCTATCAAACACCGACTTGTTTCGATTTTGATCACGGACAGTCAATCTCTTCACTGGGCTGCAAATCCGCTTTGCGTCAGTAGGCTCAAGCGCCATTACGCGTTTCTATTTACCACTCTTGAGCCGGGACGACAATCTTCTCTCGACGTCTCGACAGATTCTTCTCGTCTAATCGCCCTTATCCTCATTCCTTCCGGCACCCTCCTCAGTCACAATCACCATGTACGCTACACGGCTTTTCAAGCTGCTACTGGTAGCTCTCGCTATTGTCTGCGTCGCTCAGGCATCATGGATCGACCTTAACAGAATCCACCTGAAGGAGCGTCGCATTATGCGAAGAGCAAGCCCGAGCCAGAAATCCGAGGACGCTCAACCAAGTGCTACCGCACCAGTTGACGAGCCCTCCGCTTCCCAAGCAGAACCAGATGATACAGCGGCTCCTACTGACGCAGCGGATTCCAAGTCTGACCAACCTGCCGATACCGCCGCCGACAAGCCCACCAAGGCTACAGATGAGCCTTCAAAGCCATCCGATACAGCTGCTGAACCTACTGCCGACGAACCCGCGAAGACTACAGCTGCGGATCCTTCTCCTACCAATGCTGATCCTACTACCAATGCCGCCGAGAAATCCACTGCTGCTGATAGCAAGCCCACCGAGACCGCTGCTCCTTCTCCCACCAAATCCACCGACGATACTGAATCTACTGATGCTGCTGCCTCTCCCACTGATGATAACACTGCTGTTGATTCGACCAATGCAGCTTCTTCGCCAACCACCACCGCCGCCGCCGATAACAACAGCAGCAGCAGCAAGAACCAGAACGATGACACTAGCAGCACCGCCGCCGACAACGATGGAGAGGCTACTACTGCAACTGAGAAAGACGCCCGAACTACCGCTAAGCCTGTGACCTCTACCCACATCGCCGTCGTCACAAGGACCAACAGCGATGGTGATCTTGAGACCATGACCACTACGAGTGTGTCTACCTCAACACCTGGACTCAGCGATGGCGATGATGACGGCAGCTCCTCCGGCATGTCTACCAAGACTCGCAACACTGTTATTGGCGTTGTTGTCGGTATCGGCGGTGCCATTGTTGTCGGTGCTCTCGGCCTTGTTGCCTGGAGGATTTGGGGACGTAAGAAGCACAACGACGAGGCCGATGGTCTCATGGACTTTGACGAATCCAACAGCCGTCCTAACAGCAACGGTCCTTATCATAGCGTTGAGAAGACCGAATACGGCAGTGTTGGTAGCGCCGGCCCTCAGCGCAGCCCATTCGCCTCCACGCTGGACACTTATCATCAGCCAACACATGTAAACGCTTCATCCAACTTCTAGTCATGAAAAGATGGACTGTTTATCCTTTGTTTTTCTTTAGCATGTCTGGTAAAAAAAAGCATTTTTCTCACTATTATCACACTCTATTCATTTGGATGGAAGTCATCAGGGTTATCGCGGGCGGCGTTTTCGGATACGAATCATTTGGGAGGTACATATAGAAAGTGTTGTACGAATTTGATAACGAAAGTTACGGCTGCAATTGACTGAAGCAGCATCACATACTCTCCGTTGCCAGACGTGGCGTGGTTTACAAGTCGACAGTTTCGAGCTTTTGGGGAGCAATTATCATTGCATATCTTGCTTTCTTCCCCTTACTGCATGCACAGACCTGGTCGGCATCAGAACGGATTCCTTGCCCGTTACGTCTCTGTATTTCGAAAGTCAATAATAACATCATCTCAAGATATGTTTCCATATTCTATTCTGTTGTGCTATGCCTGTTCGTTTATGGAGTGTTAAATTATCGGGACGCGCGAAACCACGGTTACTTGTTCAACAATGCTTCAGTCTTGTGTAAATCGAAATGCCCTGACTCGAAACTTTCTCTCTTGAATACTTGAACTTTAGCTACAATTCTGTGATACACATTGTTCATCCCATAGCCTCATCTCACCCGGCCTGGTTTTGGTACAGAATACCTACCCTATAGAACCAACACAGGTAAATAAGTACGTTCTTGTGGCATACACTTTTAGCTCCAAAGTACCGATACGAGACATGCTCACAATATCTTGAGAACACACACTAACTAACCTTGCTATTGAAAGTCACTTGCCACACGTTATTGAACGTTGTACAACCCGACTTTGTGTGAGTCGTTTGAACAACACAACTGCTGAGGAGGCTCCAGTACTTACATGTGGTCTCGCTCTGCACCATCAGTTACGAGTCTAACCAGGGTAACTCTGATCTTTATATTTATCGCACTAGGTCATTTGGTATGAGAAACATATGCAGCCTTGGGGTTGTGGCCAGGACTTTCCTTGTAGCGATCAAGGCTATCAGCTGCCTAGATGTTGTGCTGCTGTGACCCGAGGCGTATTATGGAGAAATGATGGGTCTTTTGTACGGAGTAGGTATTCAGCGACGAGGCGAACACTCGTAGTAAGTAACGAAGCGACCAGCTGAGGTAGAACTCTTACCACAACCGTATTCTCGGATAATTAGACATAAATATTGATGTCTATATCGCCCGGTCTTTGAGTTGAAATCAGAACCCCTTCTATACAGGAGTTAAAACTCCTAGAAAGGGAAAGCTGCGTGCCTGAGCTAACATTCCAGACACTGCAACAAGTGGAGGTGGAGGTGGAGGAGGCCCGAGTTAGCTCAAGGTACGGGCGGGTGCGGCCCCGACGTTTTTAAGGGTCCTGCAGTAAAGTAAACGAGGCGTAAAGGCAAAAAAGAAAAGGGGTGAGGGAGGAGTTGAAACCTTGGTTGGGGCCGTTAAGATAAAACGAGAAAGTAAGTGACTGAACAATCGCAGAATATGTACTATCAAGTCATGCATTCCGATGTATGGTTTGATGATAGTTTAGTAGGTAGTAGTAGTTAGCAAGTGTTTTGGGATGATGACATTGGATTGAATCCATGCTGAGTTGTTCATTCTGCAATCGACCTAAAACTCCGGGGAAATGTTCGAAGAAGCAAGCCCACGTTGCTCATTGGCCTACTTCAGCAAGGGTCGGGTGCTCCCTCGAATCATGACAAAAATGGAACAACAAACAAACCCCTGGTGTAGGCAACGATTATGGCACTGAAAGAGGTGAGTAAACTTGAGGACATTCATCCGTTGCACCATAGGTACCTATACTAAGTACTGCAAGTCATCATAAAACCGTTGCTTCAGGCTTCAGGCTGGAGGCCAAGTAGAAAGCCTGGGCAATCAGGCCGAAATGTTTTATTTTGATGCCAGCGAAGCAATCAGCACTGGTCACTGACTGGTGGTTCATCGCATCCATCCAATGCTGGTGTGCGGGTCAAGATCAAAATGGTCTAGAAACGTGAAATTGATAGCGAGTACACCCAGTACCAATAGATGGTGAAGCTGATTGAATGTATCCCCTATCGCTCGTCTTGTTTATTGCTTCGAAATTCTTCCAAGATGCTAGCGGTCCTTGCCGAAATTACGTCGTGGCTAATGCGGGTACTCGTAGAGTGCGGGTCTCATTACCTACAGCATGAACGAGGCACTCCTTTGAAGATGTCTTTCTCCAAGCGAAGGGACTGGTCCAATACTGGGATAATGAGTAAGGTGAAGTATTAGCAAGTTCCAGTGGCCAACTGTTCATTGTACCTGCCCATGGAAAGGAAGAATTGGTGCAAATCTGGGTAGGTATGTATTCAGGTAGGTTGGTAAGGTTAGGTACCTACCTAACAAGAAAGAAAAAAAGTTGTGACAACTCACACACCCAGAACTGGAAATGGCTGCCGACTGGACCGAATTACACAAGCGCATCTCCCAAGTCAGCAGTCCATTGCTATTAGCACTGACACTGAGCTAATTCGAGGCAGGTGCACCCAGGTACGGCAGGAGCAGCTAGGTAGGTAGGTAGGTACCTAGGTAGGTACACATGGTATCCGTACATTTTAACATGAAGCATCGAGTCCATCTCTTGACCACTCATTGTTGAATGAAGCTCTCATCTAATCTCATCCTATCTTACCTATCCCATCCCATCCCTCCTTCTCGAATGAGACCGTTGCCTTCATTTTGTTCTTCTCTTCACTCCGCAACTTGACCTCCTCCTTCATCACTTTCTTCATTACGGATATTGTCACCCTTTATACCGTTATCGTCGGCTGTTTGACTCCCAACGGATAATAATTCAACCCCTCAGATGAGTCCGGTCGCATTGTCTCTGTTCCCTTGTCTTCTTCTGGCCACTCTTTTCCTTTCTTGAGGCCGTTTCCTTAGGTTCTCGATAGACGCTTTTTTTCTGGTATTCCAGGCGCCCCCCCCTGGTGGTCCGTTTCCACACCCCGGAAATTTCCCACTTGCGCTGCGCTCACAGCACAGGCAAACCGTCATTCCGATCGCCCCTTTATTAATAAAGTCGAACAAGGCGTCGCGTTCTTAGATTATTCCTCGATCGTTAGATATATCGGCCACGATTCCGGTTTCGCAAAACTGTGTCCCTCCCTCAGGCCTTCGAGATCGGCTTTTATACTAAGCGACCGACCTTGAGAGAAAAGGACCGGCTCTATTCGAGACTCAGCTGCAGACGTTTTTTTGGTCTGCACTGATCTCCCTGGGTGAGTACACTGACCTGAACCACTTTTCCCTCCTTTCAGTCTTGGACATGTGTGAGCTCGCAGAGCACACATTCGTCTCCTGACGCCACTGCATAACTGACGGCCGCTGACTGGGAGCCACTCAATAAACAGGCTACTGTAAAGACGTCTTCTACAACGTCAACAGCTGCTCCTCCTGGTGCATCCGCACAGGACGGTCACGGAGCTTCACCCTCTCGATCCCGCCCTGCCTCACCGGCCTCTCCAGCTCTATCGAACACTTCAACCGTTGACGGCGAAGAGGAAATCGAGTCTTCCCCCGTCCTTGTTACTCTTCAAGCTCCCCGACTCCCAGAAAGAGCTCTACAATTTTTGAGAACACCACCTCCCGAGACCACTCAATTCGGCACTGCTAGCTGGGGTTCCCCTTATCCCCAGTCGGACAGCAATCTCCGCCGTCGAAGTCTGAGCAGCGAAGGCTCAGACGAATCTCCGATTCACCACTTGGACATCGAGACCCCTTTTCTCCGTCCGATTCCTGATCTACTACGATCGCAGTCAGACCCACAGGGCTCTTCGCTGAGCGCCGCTGCCGCCGTACTTGCAAATCGTGCTCGCCGACCGACTCGGGGACTTACTGAAGATTGGATCCGTACTCATACCACCGACGACCCCAACGACGAGAGTCGACATTGGTTCAGTGACGGAAGTGGAAGTGAGCACTCTTCGTTGAGCGGCTCCGAACCTGCTTGGCTGGAAGAGGGCGAGATTCGCACTCCGCGAGCCACTCGGAGAACAAGAAACGTGTCTCGAGAAGGATCTGGGCACCATCCACGGGCCAGATCTAGCATCGAGACTCTCAGACCAGGGGATTCCCTAAGTCCCAAGACGGGGCAAAACAACAGTATGGCGACCTCCGAAGCCGCACCAGTAACGCAGGATGCGGCGAGCGACAGGTCTCAGGCCGCCTCCACTCCGGAAGTACCTGTCGCAGAAACTACAGAAAAGCGTCTCCCTAGCCGTCCTGCTAACGGGGAGCCTGCGCTGCCCGCAACACCGAAGAAGGGCACTCAAAAGCCTCTCCCCAAGGAGCCTGCACCGACACCTCGTCTGAAAAAGAAGGTGCCATGGAGAGGCAAGAACATCATGGTCCTTATCCCACGGGACACTGAGCGAGGACAACCTGGCAATGCGCCCATGCCTCTGCGCCAGGATGAGATAGAACGTATGTTTGCGTCTTGGGAAGAGCTCGGATATGATATTTCAGGATTCGATTTGGAAGTTGAGGGCTACCAAGTAGAAGGCACAGCCGATTCTCAAACCCGAGACACCTGGCCAGACTTCGACGAAGTCGTCAGGGAGAGGGAACAACGTAGCTTCAAGGTCACACTTCCCGACTTGGATGGCTGGAAAAAATACGAGGCAGATCTTCAAGAGGCCAAACTGCGGGCGCTTGGCGTGTCTTTCGGCGATGATGAACCAGTACTCTCGCCTGCTGCCACAGATCTGAGCCGCCAACCCTCCGCTCAATACCCTCCGCTCCCATTCTCCCCCCCTCTGCCAACATCCTCAGCCTCCAGCAACCATGGCATACCTGGATTCCAACCTGGTCACTTTACACGACCTTCCACAAATAGTCCTGGTCTATCACATGGTGCCTCGCCACTCTCGTTCGCAGGCATGCCCAGCAAGTTCAACCCCAGACAATCTATCTCATTTCCTGCCAATAGTTCGCCTTTTGGTTTCCAGCAACAAACTCCACAAGGTTGGCCTGGCCTTAACCGCCACGATTCACCTTCTCTTATGGGCATGATGTCTCCGCACTCACCTTTTGGAGGACCCGAGAGTCCTGGCATGAATATCCACCAGCGTCACCAGTCTCTGCAGTATCCCATGATGCCTCATCAGCAATTCTCGTACTTGCAGCCTGCCCGCAACTCTCCTCGCCTGCAAGAGGTCCGCGAGGATGAGGAGGAGGCTCCGAGCAAGAGTCCCTCGATGACACCGGAACCGTCTCAACAACAGAATACCGACACCCTACAAGCCGAGATTGATGACGCTGAATACCATCTGGAAGAGCAACTTCGCAATGAATTAGAGCACGAGGACTACAACCCCCAGCCCCAGAACGAGCAACCTGCATCCTTCCCAGACCCGTTTGAGTCTGCTCATGGTCATCAAGCTTCTAAACAATTTCCTGTCCAGGAACGATTTGCCAGCGAACAGTCCAAGCCCCTTGTGTTGCATCATCCTCGACCTCACAGTCGTGGGCATTCACTTTCTCAGGGTTACTTCCGGGATCATAATGAAAACAGTGTCACTGCTGATGAGAGCAACCTCACCAAGTTTAGCAGTCTTAATGAGATTCCAGAATCTCACAAGCCAGACGAGGCTTATGAGATTGAGACCAATCCTAGCAATCTTGGTACCCCTGTTCAAGAGATCGACTTCCCTGGGTTCGGCCATCAGAAGAACTTCTCGACGGCCAGCAACCCCTGGAACGACGCTGGCTCCGCTGGCAGTGGTAATAAGGCGGACCGACGTTCTAGCCATGTTAGCAAACCCTCGCTCTCTAAGCTGAATGTGCAAGCGCCTGAGTTCAAGTTTAACCCTGCAAGCTCATTCACACCTGGCCAGTTCGACTTTGGTAGCAAGAGCAGCACTTTTCAGCCTGGTGCTAGTAGCTTTGAACCTGCTGTTAACACCTTTGAACCAACGGCCAGTACCTTCCAGCCAGGTGTTGGAAGCTTCCAACCCGGTGCTAGCAGCTTCCAACCTGGCGCGAGCACGTTCAGGCTGGGTGCTAGCAGCTTCCAGCCTACTGCCAGCACTTTCGAACCGAGCAGTTTCCAGGCTGCCAACCTTGAACCCGTTGGTTTCCAGCCCTCGGCATTCCAGGCCAATACCGACCTTTCCGGCACAAATATGTTTAGCTCTCCACCTGCGAAGCAGCCTTCACACGTTACACCGGCAAAGATTAACGTTAACGCGCCGTCGTTTTCACCAGGCGAAAGTGCTTTCAGCTTCTCCACGTCAGGTCCCAAGTTCAATGTCGCTGCACCCACGTTTACACCCCATTCTGACTCTTTCACGAGCCCGGCCAGCCAGGGCAAACATGGCAGCATTTTCGGAAGCATCGATCTCAGCTCCAACGACATGCAATCGAACAAGAAGTCGAAGGCAGTGCCGATCGTTAGACCGTCTAGTCGATCGTCTGCTAATTCAGAAGAGCCCGAGGAGCATCTCGATGTGGATGGCCGGCCACTTGCTGATGAGAACAGATTCAAGCGAGCACGCAGTTCTGCACCTGGTGGTGACGATGTGCCATTATTTGCAGAGCAGCCCAGTGGACAAGATGTTTCGCCTCAAGAGACCCAACAGAACACACAAGACGAGCATGCTCTGCCTGCGGATACTTCTATGTCTTCTATTGTCACCTCCGATCAGGTTGATACTAAGACGACCACCGCTGCCCCATCCGCTGCGCCTTCTGTCACATCGACTGCAGAGAACAACAACTGGAAGCCTTACGAGTTTGAGTCTAACCAGGATATCCAGAACTTCAACGAAGCCCGTCCCTTTGGCGAAGAAAGCTTCGCACATGGTCACAGGAAGACACTATCCGCTAATGTCGAGCCTCTCAAGCCTGGTGCGAGTTCCTACGGAGAGACCACACAGACCGAACAAGAAGACGAGGTGTCTGACCTTTCTCCTGTGGCTAGCCCTGTACCTGCTCGTGCTACTTCTGGTCTTGGTGCTTCTCGTTTCAACACTGATCAGCATCCCCCAAGGACAGTCTCCAAGGGACTTGGCGCTTCCCGTTTCGCTGATCCCGTCAAGCCAGCTAAGGGTCTGGCTGCTTCCAGATTTGCCAAGAGCCCGACGCCTGAGGAGAAGCCTCTTCCCCCTGTACCCGTCGAGGATGATGTCGTTGAATCTGTCGAAGAGGATGCGCCTGAACTTTCAGCTACCGCGCTACCCGCCACTGGCCGTGGCAGCAATGAGCCGACGTTCGAGGAGATCGATGCCGTGATGGATCAGTTCCTTGATGACCCTACAATGGGTGTCAACAAAACACGCGAATCTTCACAGTGGCCGCAGAGCAGCCCTGTTCTTAACTTGTCGGCCGTTGCAAATTCTTCACCCTATAAATTAGAGCCTGCAATTGACCGGTACATCCGTGACGAGGCTAGTTCGACACCTAGGGAGTATCACGTTCTTCCCCAGAACTCTGCCCAGCCTATGCCTAGTACAGAGTTTGAGGATCCCTTCCTCGACCCCCCTGTGCTCAATGATGGCCAAGCTAATGATGGTGAGAGCCTGCCAGCTAGTGACTGGGAGGGTGCCTTCACTGAAGATGAACATGACAAATTGGAGAACCGAGCGCAGTTCTTCGATGGTCGTGTTAACGAGGTAGTTGGCAACCTGTTGGCTTCTCGTCTTGAACCACTGGAAAAGTCGCTGTTTTCTATTCAACAAGTCTTGGCCACTCGAGCTCGTGGTACTCCTTCCTCCCGCCGCGATATGCGCAGTATCTCTGCCGAACTGCAACAGAGTGATGCCGATGATGAGGACGAGGAACCCATTTTCCGCCGCTCAATGAGTCCTCGAAGAGATCGACGCCTTGACCAAATCCGAATCGCGGTTATGGAGGGTCTTCAGGCTCAACAACGCACCCAAATTGAAACCTCAACCCCAGCCCCTGTTCCGGCAACCTCAGAAAACTCTCCTGCGGCTATTGTGGAGGTCATTGAGGCTCTCAAGCAACAGCTGACCAACAACGTTGGCCGCGATGGTGATCTGAAAAAGATGATCCAGGAAGCCGTCCAGGCTAGCGTACCCACCGTCAAATCTGAACAAGAAGAAAACTCGAAGGTCACTGAGCTTCAGAGTAAGATTACCGACCTTGAACAGCGTTTGTATTTTGAGCAGACCAAGGTCGAGAACGAGGTCTCTGAGAGACGGGCTGCCGAGGATATGGCGGCCGAGCTTGTGCGCAAACTTCAAACCGCCGAAACACGTATTGAGATCGAAATCATCAACCGTAGCGTTTTTGACCAGCGTGTGGCCGACCTTGAAGAAAGACTTCGGGGGGCTGAAGAACTGAGCGAGGAATCAATTCTTGCTCGTCGTGCTGCTGAAGATAAGCTGACTGAGTCTCGTGTTCACCAAGAGACCGCTGCTGAAGAGGTAGTTCGTCTCCGCGAACTGGTTGAGCAGAGGGATCATAAGTTACGTTCCCTGGAGCAAGCGAACAGCAAGACTGCTATGCGTATCGCTCTTTTGGAAGCTGCTCAGAACAACGCTACCCAGGCCCAACACGAGGCTATTGCCAAGTGTAAGGGTATGGAAGTCGAGCTCAAGGACGTTCGTCAAGACAACCACCACTGGCGTGCCGAGGCTGAGCGGTACGACGAGTCTGCCCGACAAAAGGGCGCTGAGTTAAACCGTGCATTGGAAGACAACCAGCACATGCAGAAGTCTCTGACCACCCTCACCACCCAGCTTGAGGAGAATGAACGTATCCGCGAATCTTGGCGTAGCAAGTTTGTCTCTCTTCAAGAAGACATGGGCAGGGCTGCTCGTGAAATCGCCGAAGACAATGCTCGTCGCATCAAGAAAGACCAGGCTATGCTTGCTAGACAGGAAGTATTGGACGCTCGTCTCCAGGCCGAGGCTAAGACCCGCGAGCGTTTGGAAATTGAGATGGATCGTCTGCAATCGAATGAACGATCTGGCATGCGTGCCAACAACGAATGTGCTCGCCTGGAAGGCATCATTGGCGAGTTGAAGACCGAAAACCACAAGCTCGAGCAGAAAGCTATGCGGTACCAGCGCGAGTTCGAGGAGGCACGCGAATCTGGCCTCAGCGAAGTTAAGAGAACTAGAATGGCTTTGCAGACTGAGATCGACACCGCCAACAACCAGGTCAACTACATCCGAGAGGAACTTGAAGAGCAGAATTCCAAACTTCGAGCTGAACTGGATAGTGTCAGACTTGAAGTCGACACCGCTAAAGCGCAGAATGAGATGCTTCTGGAGGAGGCTGAGAACAGTAAAACAGTCGAGCTCGACGAACTCACTCGCAAGCATCAGAACGAGATGGAGGATCTTCAAACTCGATATGAGCGACGAGTTCACAACGCTCAAGAGGATGCTCACAAGGCTGAGCAACACCTTCTTGAACGTCTCAGTCTGTCAGCTTCGAAGACCGAGCATCTTCAAGATCGCATTCTCCATCTCGAGGACAAACTCGAAATCGCGAAACAAGCTGCTGCCGCCGCCGCACAAGCCGCCAAGTCTGCAGGGGCCGACATCCATGTTCCTGTCGCTCAGCCGAGGAGGGCCACTCGAGACCTTGACCCACCCGAGAGAATCTCTCCCCAGGCTCTTCGTGAATCCATCATGGTACTCCAGGAACAACTCCAGGCTCGCGAGCAGCGGATTGAGGAACTGGAACAAACTCTATCCAAGACTGATCCCGAAGCCAACACCAAGATCACCAAACGTGATGATGAAATCACCTGGCTGCGCGAGCTCTTGGCTGTCAGGCACGAGAACCTACAAGATATCATCGCGGCTCTTCAAAGCGACTCTTTTGATCGCGACGCAGTGAAGGATGCCGCGATCAGACTCAAGGCAAACCTGCAGATGGAAGAACAGGAGCGAGAGAGGGCAATGAATGGTGGCTCCGCCATCAACTTACCCAATATTGCTCAGACAATCCAGAATGCGTCGCCTCGCGTGGCACAAACCATTGGTCCCCTGGCAGCTGCTTGGGGCAACTGGCGAAAGGGCAACCGCGCCCAACCCTCACTAAGCAGCCTCTCTGGCGTCCTCAGTTCTCCGGCCCCTGGACGGAAAGCTACCCCCTCGCGTAGCAACTCAACCTCCCATAACAAACCTATGGGAGGTCTCATGACACCTCCCGCTTCCACTGTCCGTCAGAAATCGCCAGTGGATAATAAGCCCCAACCCACTGCCTTTGCAAGTACTGGACGTCGCTTCCCATCGCAAAGCCACGCTCCTGGACGAGCACGAGGAGCTTCCAATACTTCGCATAGAGCGGAGCAAACCATCGTTACACCACCGCCTGTTGAATCAGAGGATGAGCCCATGACTCCTCCAATGATGCGAACGAGTGGCTACGACTCAGATGCACAACCCGGAGATTTCGACGATAATGATTTCTTCGAAGACTAAGCGGAATCACGAGCTTGAGGGGCCGTGACTGGGATCTACACTGTCATGGTTGTCTATAATCTACTATTTCCTTTGTTAAAACATTGAAAAACGGCTGATGCATAAATATTTGCGCTGCACATTATTATACTAGTTTCATCGAGACTGCGAACCTAGAAAGATACCCCTTTTGGATTCATGTTTATGCCACAGATTGGGATTTGTTCATCTTTTGATTTACCCCGTCTTTTTTGCACTCTGTTCTTCTGCTCCATTCTGAGGCCTGTGTGCGTGTCTTGGAGGATGTTACTTGATGAAAGAATACTCTGAACACTTGACAAAAAGAGAAAA